GTTTCCAGTATATAAATTCAGGTTGAAACAGCAAGCACGAAAAACAGAAGATAAAAGCGAGCATCCAGCACTGTCTTCAGATATTCCGGGAACATCAGCTGCTTCTAATATTTTGGGTCTCTGTGATGGTGGTTTCGACCGACGCTTAACAATGCGTGTGGCCATTGATGTGCTTAAAAAAAACGATTTTGAGCTGCGCGAAGTACGCTGTTATTTGTTTTATATGGAAAAATTTATTCGAGGAATATCATTTGACCCATAATACAGAAACCTACACCTGTGCCTAGCCATTCATCTCCAGTTTCTCCAGGTTTATTCACAACAACGATGGAAAAAAACTTACCAGTCACATTGAAGGTGCATTATGCGGGAAAGAAATTTAGCAAATTTTTTTATTCATAAACAAATAGTTCCTTTCTTTTTTAGTAATTTGTTTCAGTATTTTTTTTTTTTCTTCAAGTCAAAACTAAGAAAAGTTTGTTAAAATGACCTATAGTGCCAAAAAAACCTTTATGGGCCTATAATGCCAAACAAATTTTCATGGGCCTATAGTGCCAAACAAACCTTCATAGTTTGCATCTTAAAAATTTCCAAAACACTTAGCTGAAATGATTTCAGATCCCGGCGCAAGTGCTCACTGATTTCACATTTGCGCTTTCTTCGTTCGTTGCTTATGAAAATAAGCTGAAGTTCACTCAGTTACGTCGCCTTCGTGCTTCGCAGGCTAGCTTACCCATTGCCGAAAAACGTGCCGAAATTTTACAAACACTTCAAAATGTTAGTTTTGTGCATATAAATTTTTGTGATTTGAAATGGGGTTTTTGTTATTGTTTGCCATAGTACCCGTTTCATAGTCCCGCTAACGAAGAAAGCGATCGCAAAGAGATGCCACGTCCCAACCTTTAGCCGACGATCTGCCTTTTCTACCTCATACAGCGAAATTCAGAAACACTGCCGCCGATGTGAGTAGAAATGTTTAAACAATATAAAATAACAACCAATGCTGATGATTTTTTTTGTTGCAAGGTTTTTGCAAAAACTCGCAATCGCATCTAGCAACCCTGATGCGCTTTACTGCTCGATTTTTATGCGTTTTGTGCTGTGTAACAGCATTACAAAACGCACATTGTCACGGGGTTGTCTGTGTGTGTGTCCCACATTTTGTCCCGCACTTTCAACTCGGGAACCACAAAAGCTAGGCGGCTGAAATTTTAGCGTAGTACTCTCCGCCAACGGGTGACGCGGCAAATTTAAATTCAGCCTTCCCGTACCTGCGGGTAACTCGTACGGCACCCACCAACGGGTGGCGCGGCAAATTTAAATTCACCTTTCCTGTACCCGCGAGTAAGACGTTCGGCCACGTAGAAGTTTTTATGGGCAAGTTATTATCTCGGGAATCACGGGGTCTAGAAAGCTGAAATTTTAGGGTAATGACCCCCTGCCCACGCTCAATCTTGCCCATTCAAATTCAGCGTTCCCTCGCTTTTGAGTGTCACCTACGGCCTCATGAGAGTTTTGGCGGGTAAACTATTAACTCGGGAATCACGGAAAGATATTCATCCTTCAAGCTCTCGAATTCAGCTTTCATGCGCTGGTGCGTGAAATTTTCAACTATTTTCCAACATTTGAACTATTTTTGCATAAAGTACAAAGCAGTGAAAGTCATTAATAGGCAATCGTTCGATGGGTTGAATTGTACAAAACGCATGATCGTGCTGGCAACCCTGATGCGCTTTACTACCTGATTTTTTTTTTTTTGCAGTCGTTGATGGTCTTTTTTTTAAGGCAAATGTTGTACTGATTGCTGGCGACACGGGCTGCGGCAAGAGTACACAGGTATGGCTCTTTTTGCATATTACAAAACATAGTAATAATTTAGTTTCAATCTCTTGGTACATCTTCTCTTTCTTGTTTAAGTTAGTCTCGACTTCATTTCATTCACATATTTTTTTGTGGTTAATATTCCAGTGTTTTTGTGTTAAATTTAGTTTAAACAGGCATGTTCTTGCATAAGTACAGTTTGATGCCTTCAAAATTTGAGTGTATTTTTTGGTTAAGGTTTGTTTTTTTGTCAGATTTAAGCCTCGCTGGCTAATTAGCTGAAATTTTGCGTTTTTTTTTTAACACAGATTCTCTCATTCTTCACAAACAAACGGTTTCACTGCCCTTTGGAAAAGCAAAAAAGCCATTAGTTTCTCTACCCCTATTCTTTTTGATATCCGCGGAATTAGTCCAATTTGTTGATAACAATATTTTAGCGTAGAGACAAAAGCAACTCGTCGGCTGCATGAGGCTATAATCTTCTGGTATCATCCTACTTTACAGGTTCCGCAATATCTTCTCGACGCTGGATATGATCGTATTGCATGCACACAACCACGTCGAATTGCGGCAACAGCGCTTGCGCGACGTGTTGCATACGAAACACTGAATGAATATGGCAGCAAAATTGCCTATCAAATAAGATTCGAAAGAACCCGTACAATGAAAACTCGTCTATTGTTCCTCACCGAAGGACTGCTCCTGAGACAGCTACAGACCGACCCTCAACTTAGCCAGTACAGTGTATGTGACATATATATACGAAAGACAGTACGGGCCTAAAAGTCCCTGTGAAGAAAAGAAGGGGCCGGAATAGCGGCCCAATAGCTAAGGGTATTAGACGAGGAATCGCACAAATTGTACATGCAATAGGAAAGTGCATGGGTGGGGCGGTAATCGCCCAGGGTCTGTGGTGATAATGAAAGAAAGAAAATAAAAGGGTCAGATTGTTGTGTCAAATATTTTTTCAAATAAATCAGGATGGAATTAAACTGAACAAACTTTCATTGAATACATGGAACTGCTCCATTTTTCCCGTTTTTCTTTTAGATTTATTTAACTTGTATATTTCATATTAGTAATGCTTTAGTATTAGTAAGAACATTTTATAAAATATATACTTACTGTGAACATTCATTACACGATATCTACTAATTCTAATTATCACAGTCGTCGTACTGACGAGGTCCAATTGTGGTGTAATGGCAAGAAATGTATGCGACTTAATGGACTGAAACATTTCTTATCATTAAAATAATTTTATTAATATACAAATGTTATAATTCTCATCTTTTACTTTGCTCTCTGTTCATGTCTTTTCATCCCCTCTTAATATACTTTCCTTTTAATATACCGTCTTACTACTGGAACACTTATTAAGTTATTGCTTAGCTCTGTTTCGAGCTGTAACTGCGATTTAATCTTAACATCCACTAATTTTAAATACTAAAGTTGTCGTACTGACGAGGTCCAGTTGTGGTGTAATGGCAAGAAATGTATACGACTTAATGGACTGAAACATTTCTTATCATTAAAATAATTTTATTAATTTACAAATTTTGTAATTCTCATCTCTTACCTTCCTCTCGGTTCATCTCTTTTCATCCGTTCTTGATATACCTTCCTATTAGAATACCTTCATATTATTGAAACACTTATTAAGTTCTTGAAACGAGTTGTAACTTTTTCATCTGCTTTAACCATTGCTGCATCAAGCACCGGTCAGCCTTTTGGCCATTCTGGCTCCGGCCGTGTTTTTATGCGTTTTGTGCTGTGTAACAGCAGTACAAAACGCATATTGTTACGGGGTTGTC